CGATACAACAATACAGATAGTGTTAATGACAGACCCAGGTCACGTCGACCTAGAGTTACCACTGCCGCCCAGGATCGCTACATCCAGTTGAGATATCTTCGTTCAAAAACCAAGGCCGCATCATCCACAACAATCCAAATCCCTGGAATGCGCTGAATCCCTGACCAGACAGTGTGCAAATGGCTATGGGAAGACTTTTTGCCAGAAGACCTGTTCAACATCACGTCGTTCCCTTCATCAATGTCAACGGTTGATCTTTGGAGCATGACAATGCTCGACCTCATGTTGAGCGTGTTTGACAGGACTTCCTCCAGCAAAACAATGTTCAGGAGTTACCTTGGCCTTCTCGATCATTCGATTTGTCCCCCATTGAACATCTATGGGATACTCTTGATCGATGCTTGCGCCAGCGTAATCCGCCACCTCAGACACTATAAGAACTGCACACAGCACTTCAGCAAGAGTATCAAAAACATTCCTCAAGACAGCATTCGGCATCGCCTTTCTTCTATGGGTCACCGCTGCCAAGCTGTTATTGATGCTCATGGTGGTCACACCAGACACTGACATTTTACTCTGACCAAGTGGCTTTAACGGTCCTCTGTGGTTTTACCCAACACTTTCTGGATAATCATGTTTTGAAAATTTGTAAAGTGATGAGTTTACTGTAATTGAGCAATGATGTCATGTTTAAATCAGTTCTATGCACTCAGTAAATTTTTTTTTTATGCTTACTTAGACTTCATCACCTACCCCTTCTTTGTAATGTAAGAGGAAAAGATGATAATTATGCCTCAACAATATGTAAAATGTGTAACAATAATATCCCAGAAGATGAATTACATTTTCTTTTTGTCTGTGATGCATATGTTATGTTACGTAGTGTATTTTTACCAAATTTTGACCAATTGCCAACTATCATTAAGTTTAAAAACGTAATGCAATGTAATGATACCAGTAGTCTTCTAAAAACTGTGCAGTTTATTAAGCATGCCCTTGTGATCAGATCAAATGTGTGTAAATAATGTGTAACCTTGTATATTGCCTTGTCTAAAATGAAATTTGTATCCTATGATTGTACATGGGCCGATGGCCTACTTACAGAAATAATTCATATCAGCAACTCAATAAGTAAACTCCAAAACAGCATGTTTAGTTTCTTTTTGGAAGAATATACTTACGAACACAAATGACCAACATTTTCAACTAGCTGAATATCAGTTAACTACAAAAACCTAAGTGCTCGGGATATACTAGTAGTAAACTCAGTAGAAAAAGCTCAAGTTGAATCTAGCATACACATGAAAAAAGTGATTTTACCCCCACTTGAAATGTTGAAGATCTAGATGCCAGTTGGAGGTACTGTAATCTCGACAACTGGTCATGTGTTGTTCAGGAGGGAAGATGGTTGTCTCCAGGATCTAGCAACAGCTTCAAGGTAGATGAAGAGAACCTGGAGTTTGCAGCAAGAAGATGGGATTCCATCCTCCTCCTGGTTCCTTGTCACTTAGATTTAGAGAAACAAAATGAGTCAGGTTGTTGTTGAAAAATCTCTGAGACAGTAAAGACTTGCGAGGGTTCCTTTCCAAATGGGTTGAACTCTTTCCTGGCTGGTTCATGAAAAAAGTTATCTCAGGATGGGTCACCTGGCTGCTTGAATGAGAAGGAACACCCATGAGCCTGTATGGTGGAATTCAAGGTGCAGACCTGAAATCATTCTGTCACCACAGTGGCCGAGCGGGTTAAGTGGCTGACTTTGTGTGCTGGTGATTAGGTGCCTGACTCCTGTGGGTTCAAATCTGTACTTTACTAAGAAAGTGTAATCCCAAATATAACATATTTGACCACTTTCTAAATGGCACTGTGTATTCACAGGAAAAAAAGTAACTGTGCATAACATAAGATTGCCTAAAATGAAAGTTAGGTGAAAAGTTATAAAAATAACCCTAAATAAACATGTAGCAAAGCACTTGAATTTGTTGTCACGTATCACGTGTGCTTTTTTTACACCTGAAGTTCACACACCTGATATTGAAAATTGAATAACGGTTGATTATTCTCTAGCCTCTGAATGTTGTGGAAAAGGTTAATTTTTAACCTAAACTGTGCGTAAGCCATGGCTTACAGATAATCAGTGTCTCCTCGCCGTGGGTGTGCTGGAGACTAGAATGGCCCAAAATGAAGTGGCCAGGCATTTTGATGTCCATCGAAACACGATCTCATTTCTATGGAGACGTTTTCAACATAATGGGATCAAGAGAGATTTGCCTCAGATCCGCCATCCACGCGTGATGTTACGTCAGCAAGACAACCACAAGGAATCGATTCCAGACTGCCAGTTTGACTGCTCGGACCATTCCTGGCTTACATCCAATCAGTTCCACGACTGTACGGAAACGACTGAGGGAGCACAACATCCAGCCCCGACGGCCTGAAATACTTCCAGTTTTGTTCTAGTGTCACCTAATATAGACAGCATCTACGATACTGGAGTCAAGACTGGGACAGTGTTTTGTTCACTGACGAGTTGAGTTTACATCTGGACAGCTCAGATGGCAGGGCAATGGTGTTCAACGTCAACAGTTTGGTGGCAGCAGCGGCATTATGGTATGGGGAGTCATAGTTGGACACAACTTGTCATTGTCAATCGTAATCTGAGAGGTCTGCGATACAGGGATGAGATCATTGCGCCTCATATGAAGCCGTTCATTCAGGGACAGAGATGTAACTTCACGCTTCAGCAAGATAATGCCCGTCCACATGCCCGTCCTCATGTTGTGACAGATTTCCTGAGACAGAAGAACATTCCGGAACTCCCCTGGCCAGCTGTTTCTCTGAACCTGTCCCTTATCGAGCACGCTTGGGATGAAATGGTGCGACATTTATGTCAAGCCCAGAATCAGCCATTGACATTAGCTGAATTGGGATAAGAGTTAGTTCAATTATGGAAACACATTCCCCAAGCTTTCTTTAATTACTTAGTGTTAACTATGTGTAGTCGTTGCCAAGCCTGCATCAATGCCAATTGTGGACACACACCATGCTGAAATTGTGAACTGACTTTTGACACCACATCTCTTCATGGGCATATCATGATGCCTAGTGTCAAATCATACAGATTTCGATATTATCCTGTCAACAGTTAAACAGTGATTAAGGACAACACCACAAATCATGTTAATATTTTTTTTGCATAAAAAAATGGTATAACATAAAATAAGGCAGTTACTTTATTCCAGTAGTATATAATGTGGTCAGGTTTTGTCTGCATGCGCCCGCCTCCGTGGTGTAGTGGTTAGAGCGTCCGCCCGGAGAGCAGAAGGTCACGGGTTCGATCCCCGACTGCGTCATACCAAAAGACGTTAAAATATGGTACTTGTTGGTCCCTGCCTGGCGCTCGGCATTAATGGGTACAAGGACTGGTCGGCTCGGAGTCAGTATAATGTGTCTGAGTGGGGTATTCATGCTTCACTGCGGTATGGTATCTCAGTGGGCTAGCACTATAAAACCAGCTTCAGGCTGGGCTAGTACAAGCAGCCGCACATACACATACACACACATGCACGTCGTCATATGAGCGAAATATTCTCAAGTACGACATTAAACCCAATTTCACCTCACCTCACCATGTCTTCTTGCAGTCCAAAATTTCTGCCAATATTTATTGTCACTGGAACAAAGACTAAACTCAAAATGTCAACACACCACACCACTGGCTAGTCAACTTTCTATTCACAATAACCAAACCAGTTTGCCTGCCGTGATACTGCCTAAAACTGCAACAGTATTGCCCCCATACTGATCATGATCAGGAATTGTTGTCCAAGTCCAGTCGTAAGTCTATGTTAAAGTAAGGGAGTTACGGTCATCTTAGAGCTACGATCGCTTTCAGGAACGGGGCCCTGGCAGAGCGGTCGCCATCATGCCACCAATATTCTCTGCCATCTATGCATCAGAGGCTAAACCTTTGTCTGGCACGCATCTGCTTAAATTATCAACAGCAGAATTTCATACACTCACTGGAAGGTAACTTTCAATATATGCGATTCCTATGAAGTCTGTTACCTGAACAATTAACCATTAGCAGGTTGGAGTTTTTAATCTTGCACAAAGCGGAATTAAGCTCAGAGACAATGCTGTCTTGGTGATCTGTTTCAGACCTGCCACACTCAGATTTCATTGCATCCCTATATCCATTACATGAGACTTGTCCCACATTTGAGAAATTACATCTTTTGTTTCTCAAAACATTTGGTCAATTTATATTTATGTTGACATAGAGTCTGGGTGGCAAATACCGTACAGTTTTGTATTCAAGCCAGTGTCACTCAATCTGGTTCGTGTCAAAACGTGTACGGTATTTGCCACCCTGACTCTACCCTTTATCATTCAAACAATTGGCCATTTTCTTTGTTCACTGAGAATTCTTAAGCATAAGCTAAGCTTTCTTGCATTAGTGATTTGTGAGTTACCTACTATGTACACACACTTTGCTTTGTGTGTGCATGTCCATCACTAACTGTTCATTCACGATGTGAAATTTCATTGTGGTTAGATGTTATCTAAAATAATGGTATTGTAAATTATACAACTCAACAGTAGCTAGATTCCGAATAGATTAGTTACCTTGTTCTTTTGTTGGCAATGTATCTTCCATATGAATTATCAGACAACTGACATTAAAGAGGAGAATTTAAAGACTTAAGTATGTGATAACAGCCAACATAATGTGAAGGTTGTGATATAATACCGGTGAGGTTTTCAATGGAATTATGTTTATATGCTTTGCTCACTCATTACTTCAGAAGCCTAAAAATGGATTGGTTATTTTGAAAGTTAATCTGACATGACCTTCTTTGGAGTTGTTCTCAGATCTTAACACCCACAGCCATCGTATTGTCTATGATGTAAGATAAAATAAGATGGACAACACCATACCCCAGCATCATCCACGACTACTGATGTAAACTATATCAATGTATTTTTGACACTGACATCACCTGAATCACTGATGTTTTCAACATAAATTCCTGCTGCTTCTTTAAATTCTCATCCATGGTTTTCCCCAGTAAAATGCCCATCTTGTCTTGTTGCTGCCTCTGAGGTCTTGATTTCTTCAGTCCAGACTTGTTATTTTTCTAGACAAAGAAAACATTAATGACAATAAAAAACATCATTTACAGTCAACTTGTCACCATTGCACTGCAGTTACAGAAGAAATTATGTTGTGTTGGTGTTTGAGATGTTTGGTTTATAAATACTTTTCAATAATGGAATTTTGAACAATGGTATGTTTTATTGTGTGTGTGTGTGTGTTTGTGTGTGTGTCCTTTCTAGCTATTCATCCCAAATGAAACAAGTTAAACAATGCTAGTCTTATCAGATACCTTGACGCAGTTTAACATCTTCAAGCTCACACAGACTCGGATGAACGAACGAATTTACAAGTTTTACGTCAGCTTCTGGCTTTAGCCAAAGTCACCGACTCGGTAGGTGGGATGTTCGACCAGTGCCAAAGCGTGTGAGAAGAAAGAGAGACATGCACAAAGACAGACTGTGAATCTGTGCTCAGACTTCAACCATGGTGACAAGTCATTGGCAGAGTTTCTGACCAGAATTGGACACAATATCAGACTTGTATGAACTGTAATGCATGTACTATGATGTAGGAACTGCATTATGTGCTGTTATATATGCATCATCATGTTGCTAATGTTAAAGCTGCAAAAAGATTTGTTGGTATTCTGTTACATCTTTTCATTGCGGACCTTTTTTCCACGCATTGAGGTTTTTTGGGGTTTGTTTTGCCATGGGGTGTTTTCTCTGGGCGCTTTATATGTCCTTGTGGGCCTATTGTCCTACCACTGTACACTGTACCTATACTGTGTTGCCACTGTTTCTGCTGTATCAGAATGTGACTGTGGATTGTGACATTGTACAGTACACAATAACCAAAGATCAGTTCCAATTGTTGAAATCACGGAGCTACAAATATATCTATGCAAAATGAAAATTTGACGGTGATCATCATGCAAGTTTGACTTAGCGCCTATAAGAAAAATAACTGGGTACACTTACAGAATATCGGATACCTACCAGCCATATTGTTTAGTGTGATGTCACCCTAACCCTAAACCTAACCCTAACCCTAAACCTTACCCTAAACCTTACCCTAACCCTTACCCTAACCCTAACCCTAAACCTTACCCTAACCCTAACCCTAACCAAAAGTAAACTCGCGTGCTTTCAAAGATGGCGGAAGGTATCCGGTATTCTGTAATCTTACCAATAACTGATTGCATTTCACATCTAGGTAGTTACCACATTGGACAAATATAAATATTTCACTGAAGGTTAATTGGAAACTGGATTTCTGTTTTGCGACTCAGTACCGATCGCGAATGATGATCCTTAGGATCTGTGACTGATTCCTGGGCCAATTTAGCTGAGCCAACATATGCCGCACTCAAGGAAGCAATTAGCGTGATTTCAGTGCCTACAAAATTATAAATAATATCGGTGCGAACTCCTTACGAAACAAAATAAGAAGCAATGGGTTCGTTCTCAGTGCAAAATAAGCTTATAATTCTGCTAGAGTTACGTCCCATGTAAATCGCTGGATCAGACTGGTTTACATCTCTTAGAGCGCTTGCGCTCCGCACAGCACTAAGGCTTGTAGCGACCAGAACTGGGATACGACAGAAACTGTGATAGTACTGCTCCCGGTTAAGTCCAAACCTTAGGCGATCTATGCGACGCAATGTTGGGAGCTTGGAACCTGCTAAAGTTGCAACCTCCCTTCTAGATTGTCTCACAGTCCCTGAACCATATTATTTTCCCTACAGCCTTGCCCTCCCTGCGATGTTAAAGCCCTTAATCAAAGACGCTTATACGTCTTTGCCTTAATGAAGCAAATCTAGATTTCCCCAGTTTGCTCTCCCTGGGGCTCCATTTCAATTTAAATGGGTTTATTTACAATCAAAATTATATATTCAGAGGGGTGGCCTAAAAGTCGGGATAAAAGAAAAGTCAGGCCGTGTCGGGTACTACTAAAAATGGATTGCAGAATATTAAAACGAAATCTGCACATTTGGGTAGATACATTACCTGCCTGCCACAAATGTATAGTTTGATTGATTGAGTGAGTGAGTTTAGGTCTACGTCGCACTCAGCAAATATTCCCGCTATATATGGCGGCGGTCTGTAAATAATCGAGTCTGGACCAGACAATCCAGTGATCAACAGCATGAGCATCGATCTGCGCAATTGGGAACCAATGGCATGAGTCAACCAAGTCAGCGATCCTGACCACCTGATCCCGTTAGTCGCCTCTTACGACAAGCATAGTCGCCTTTTGTGGCAAGCATGGGTTGCTGAAGACCTACTCTACCCCGGATCTTCACGGGTCATAGTTTGATTGAAAATGTATAGTGAACGATTAAAAAAACAATGACTACATACCGAGAGTCCCGTAGAAAAGACACCGTCTTGTTACAGTACAACCAGAAATTATTGAGAATTTAAAGATTGTAATTTTTTTAAAGTTTTTCACTCATTACTTACGTATTAAATGTGCATATTAGCAGAACATTACTCCAGATTCAAAGACAGGTAAACAGTTAGTATTTTGTCAAGTCACCATGGGCAGCAATGCAGGCTTCAGTGCGGCGGGGCATACTACTGATCAAAGAAGTTAGAAAGTCGTGGTCCATGCTGTCCCAATATCGGACCACCTCTTCTTTCATTTCAGCAATATTGAATGCTTTGAAAGATGTTTTGGGTCGTTGTCCTGCTGGAAAATCAAAACATTTCCATAGAGCACGTGAGCAGATGGAAGTAAATGTCCCTCGAGAATATATGTGTACCGCTCACTGTTCATATTCCCTTCAAATACACAGAGGGGCGTTGCCCCTAACACAGATATGCCACCCCACACGTTAAATTTCGGACTGTACTTTGGGCGCTGATACAATGGTTTTTCAGTTTGTTTGGTCCAAAATTTCAGTGTATTAGGAAACAGCCACACAGAACCTTCATCTGAGAAAATCACATTGTCCCAGTTAAAATTTCTATGCTATACGCACCAGTTCAACCTTCGCTCTTTTGTTCAGGTTTCATGATCGGTGATGGAATTCCTCGACTTTTCTGCCAACCCATTGCATGCAGCTCAGTTCTAATTGTCTCCTTACAGACAGACACAGTTCCTCTATCAATCATTTCTAGCCTTAAGTTTTCTAAACTCCTTCGTTTGATTTTAGAAACAAGAATAACAAGCCGCCTCCTGTCACCGACAGTCAATTTTCTGGGCCTACCTGCGCCTCCCTGGTGCTCAATGCCATATCCATTTGCAATATTTTTCTAAACACGATAAACAGTGGACAAAGGGATGCCTGTTCTACTTGAAATCACTTTAGCTGATCTGATGTCCTTGTTATAATACTCTAAAATCAACTTCCTCTTCTCTAAATCATCCATACATGCTAGCAAGTAAACAAAGGGCGATAACTCTTCACAAACTAATGAAAAAAGATTAACGGAGTTGTCTCTCTTGAATGGAACCAAGCACTTGATAGCTGGTCAAGGTTGTTTATACTAGAAATCCAATTAAACATATTCCTAAAATTCTCAATAATTTCTGGTCATACTATATGTGTTTTCCTTGTTGTACGGAACTTTGCCCACAGGAACTTTGCCAACAAGGAGCTTTCCCCACAACAATTCATACAAGGGAGGAACTTTGCCCACAATATTAATACAACATGATATAAATGATATGATATTATTATTTTATTAAACTACACAGAAATAGCATATAACATAGCACATTGATAGTTAAACATGAATAGAACTTCGTTCTTCATTCTAATACATTTAACCATTGGGTTTTTTTTGCTGACAGTTTCAGTACTTCATTGTTTTAGTTCAGTCTAATAGTGGCACCAACAGACTTAAAAAAGTCTTCCATTGTTTTTTCGTTGTTGATGCAGTCAATTAAGGTGGGTGAGTAGTAAGGTAAGTGTTTATTGTAATTAGAAAAAGGTATACAAACAAACACAGAGACATTGGTGAAGCGCACTTAATGTTTGATCTCTTTTACAAACAACACATCATGAGCAGGGTATTAAGATGCATGGGCGTATCCTCCCATTTGTCAGACGTGCCATTTGTCAGACAGGTTAAAACAACGTTAACAAACTATCTGGTTGAGTGCACAGCTAATACCCTGCCTGTTACCTCTTACTGAAATAGTGACCGCCTCCGTGGTGTAGTGGTTAGAGCGTCATCCCGGAGAGGAGAGCGGAAGGTCGCGGGTTCGATTCCCGACCGCGTCATACCAAAAGACGTTAAAATATGGTACTTGTTGGTCCCTGCCTGGCGCTCGGCATTAATGGGTACAACAAGGACTGGTCGGCTCGGAGTCAGTATAATGTGTCTGAGTGGGGTATTCGTGCTTCACTGCGGTATGGTATCTCAGTGGGCTAGCACTATAAACCCAGCTTCAGGCTGGGCTAGTACAAGCAGCCGCACATACACATACGCATGCACGTCGTCATATGAGCGAAATATTCTCAAGTACGACGTAAAACCCAATTTCACCTCACCTCACCTAAATGAGGTGAGGTGAGGTGAAATTGGGTTTAACGTCGCGCTGGAGAATATTTCGAACCCGCGACCTTCCACTCTCCTCACCCTAATGAAATAGGAATTGCCCATAAAACAAATAACAGAAATCAGAAATGTAAGAAATCAGGGAAAGCTTTTTAATAATAATGATAATAACAATAAAAATATTGATCACATCCAGTACAAGTAAGCAAATCAGTATGAAATCAGCCAGAACTGATTATATTAGTAGAGTTCAATATTGTCAGCCCAGTTTCATTAGGTGTCCAACAGCATCCAGGAATTGAACAGATGTCTTCTGCATGGCCACTTGTCAGGTTCTCTTTCAACCGGAGCAGTTTCCCCTCAGACTCTATGTGCACCTTCTTCCTGGGTGGGGGAGCGGCACCAAAGTCAATCTGCGTTAGCTTAGCGCCCTCCGATGTCTCTATGCCTTGGATCAGGTCCACAAATCAGTACAGGTTTGGGTGCTGATATGGTAGACTTCTGTTCACACGAGCATGAAATCCCTTACAAATTGTTGTTTGTCCTCTATCCTCGGATAGAGGAAAACGGGCGTCGTCGTCAACCCATGTAGTCATTGAAGTCTTAGGACCTTGCAATTTCAGGTGTTGCCTCCATAGTCTCCAACCAGGCTTCTTGTACACCAGGAAGAGGAAGTAGGGGAAGTCCAGCCGCTCTTCGAATCCTTGTACTGGAGAGTTAAGCCTAGATCTTGCGTTTTCCTCCAAATAGCCTGGGTATAGTGGAAGAAACACCTCTTGATGTCTGTTGTGGGGAACTCACCCTCGACTGCTCGAATGGCAGCCATCTCAAAGCCTGTCTGCACAGTAGCTGGTGACAAGGGTCGGTTGAGAATCTGCATTGTAGATAGCCTGGAAAGGTATAGCTTTTATATCTGGCCCGTTTCCGCAAACTGCTAACAAACTGGACTTGACTCGGGTCTCTAGGTGGATGGCAGTGGTCCGAGAAATCTTTCAGGAAGTCCCCAACAGTGGAACATTTCCCTCATGTCTTGATGATACATCTCCAGTGTGTGGTCTGGCCTCTGGTTCTATTCTTAGAGTAGGTGAAGCCATCAAAAAATACTTGTGGGGTTCCTCTCTGAGACTCAATGAATTCAACTCTGCGTATACCAGCCATTACAGCGATATCTTACTGACTTTAGTTCATGTTATATAGTACATGTGAGATTATACTTATGTTTTGGAGAAGTTTAGTCCATGAGGCAATTGGCTCCGCTCAAACACCAATCTCTATTCCAATGGTGCAAGTGTGAGCTGCTGTTAACCTGCAGCAATCCTCCGTCCAATTTCGCCCCAGAATGTTCAATAGGAGCCATATCCGGGGAAAGAGACGGCCCTGGAAAACCGTTAATGTTGTTCTGAGCCAGATAATCCATCGACACCCTTGCTGTGTGAGTGCTGTAAACGTGGCTGGCGTTGTTGACGTGTCAAAATTGGCACCACATATGGCCTTCGGCAGTGGATTCCAGCAGCCCGAAGGCGACGGCTGATCGTATCGCTTGGCACTGCTCCCCTTGACCCATGAACTATGGCTGCTGTTACTGTTGCTGCTTGAGTTCGGTTCCTTAGATGAGTGACCCGGCTGAACCGATCTTGCGCATGAGTTGTCACTAGTTGCCGTCCGGTACGGGGACGATCAGCAGCAACCCCGGTTTGCTGACGACGTTGAGCAAGTCGTGCAATGGTGGTAAGAAGACGTCCCACTTGTTTAGCTACAGCGGATGCAGAGCTATCTCCGTGCAACTTTCCAATGGTCATTCCCCTCTGCTCAGTCGTTAGTCTAGGCATCGTTTGTGTGGCGTGTACACCTACTCGCGTTAATACTGAACTGTTTTTTGACACAAACGTTTATAAAGGATACCTCAGAGTGAAATGCATGCTGTCCGTCCAGAACCGTCGATGCACGTGCTAAAATTATGGTTTTGCTGCACTGTTGGTGTGTTGGTGCGAATGGTTCGTATGGACGTCAAATTGCATGACATCATCTCATCTGGGATCATTACGTCACTTTACCATGAACGTTCCATAAACATGAACGCTTACCTTGATGAGATATCATTTTTTGGAAACTTGCGTTTCTTTTTCTGTTCAGTATATATACATACAAACCAGCTTTCAGATCACAGATAACATGCACTATCACTAGTGTTATTTTTGATGCAATAAATTTATACACCGTCGCTGGCGACATGCAATTTTTAACTAAAATAGGATGTTATATCGTAAGGATATATTTATTATATATGTACATGTACATAATCTCTCTGTCTTTTTGGGCATTAGTGGGTCTTCCATGTATCAGAGACCATATAATATAATTATATGGTCTCTGCATGTATTTATGAGGTATGCATTGTGGCATGGTACATATAAAACAAAATAAAGTAAGTCTCAGGGATCCTTTTCATTATGTTTATTTTTATTATTATGTACTGTTTTTTTCTGTAAAATGTGTTCATTTCAGAGACTCGTTGTTAGTATAACTGGCTCCAAGCTTCAGCGTGCGGGAGCCGGAAAGCAGAATACCCTGGGCCATGGACTGGAAAACCAGTCAGCCAATTTGACTAGCGTTGTACTTTGAATGCGCGATTCTCAAGTCAATGCCTGTGCGCTGTAAACAAAGATGGCGCGAGAACAGGTGTGTGAGGCTGTCAGATGAGGCGCTTCGGGTACAACTGAGATATTAAAAGATTTGTGTCGAGTCAGTATTTTAGGTTATTGTGTACTTATACATCTATTATGGACCGGAATTGTGAATGATTCATAATACTTTTAAGGCCCACTTATCTCTCTGCAGTCAAATTTACCGTTGAAATATCATTGCTCACGAGCCAAGTTTGACTCTTTATTACATTAGTTATTGCCAGTGTAAAAGATCACAGTGGATTTTTCTCTACGAACAACTGTTTGCAGAAAGTGTATACAGAATTCTATTATTTTCACCAAATGGAATTGGAAAAAGGTAGTTTGATGCTTTGAAACAATATTTTATTGGAAATTTCATTATAAGAGATTTATATTTATTTGTCGCACGTATTGTTTTATGTGTTTCATTGCATATACGCTCTAGCATATATTTTACAGGAGATAACATTAAACATCGCAGGGATGGTGAATCCATTTCCTTGGGGGAAGTGGTGAATCAAGTTTCTGGGACTCTGATGGTTGGCCCTTTTCCAGTTCCTCCTAAGGATTCTGAAGGTATTTTGTTTTGCAGAGGAGAATGATAGTGGCTTGGTATTATCCAAACAACTGCCAGCTTGTGAATACTGCATCACAGGAACCTGCTTGCAACTGATAGAAACAGTACCAGGATATCACAACTTCAGCAGATGTAGCCTGTCATACTATATTCTTGTCCCAGGTTGGAAAGGATCTGCATTTCTGTTTCCAACATACATTTTAGTTGACCAACAACTCCATTCCATCATAACAACCGAACCAGGTATTACAGTACTCTCACAAGATAGCTTTCTGATGACTGAAGTCATTTTAATAATCATAGTGATGTACACAATCATTTTTAGTGTTTAATTTAATGTCGATACTTTTCTTGTTAAAATTATCACCTTTTTAAACAAACTTGAGTAACAGTTGAATCTTGTAGCTGCTAGTTAAGTAAATCCACAATGTTTTGTTACAGGGTCTTTGTGTCTTTAGCTAGACATGAATCAGTCTATGTTTGTTGAGGTGGCAGAGTCCGACAGGGAAGTGTACAGCACCCCTATAGTCCTCGAAGAGAAAGGACTGACACAGATGTCAACTGTTGACATATCACTGGGGGTCATCTTCGGCATTTGTGGGGCTGTTATCTTAGTGGCTGCTGCTTATTACTTTTGGAAGAATTATCAGAGGCGTCAAAGAATACTTCGAGTTTTCGGGTATGTTGTTGTTCATAATTACTAAGCATTGGTGAGTGCCTGGTATTGTGATCTTGTTTGACTAGGTTGTAAACCCTTTAAAACTGTACAGTGCTTTTGAGACAGTTGAAATTGGTGCCAGTGTCACTTATACTGAAAACAATACTTACTAAGCATTGTATCTCACCTGGATATGTAGTGAACCATTGAAAAACCAAAGATGACCACTGAACATTGATATGGATGTTTTCTGCTCAGACACTAAACTCTAGTGAATTAAAGAAAATATAATATATGTTGTTATAAAGGGAAACACGCATCCAACACTCTGAGCTCCCTTATTCCTATAATTTAAAAAGAAAAGTGTACAGACTCATGTGTACAGAGGCAAGTATATGCTTTTTGAGACAATTGATGAGGTTAGTCAAAACAAGGTCACGGAAACCCATAATGTGCATGTTGAATCCACTCACAGACGATACCAAATCTTCACTGGCGGATCCAGGTGTGTGTGTGTGCATGCGTGCGTGTGTTCGACCACCCACACACAACCCACACACCCCTTTGAAAATTCCTGGATCTGCCTATGATCTATATTATTTTTTGTATAAAAATTACTGGTTATAAATAGCTGTTTTGGAACTGATTCTTTGTTACATTAAGTATTTCATAACCTGGTGAGGAAAAAATCCAAACAGAGTTTCCAGCTACAAAAAACAAACAGTAATCACAATTGTGATCTTAAACCATAAACAATGGGTTGAACGCCACTTGAATCCGGTGTGACCTGATCACATGACCTCCCCAGATACACATTTTCGTTTGCTTTGTCTTGGTAGGAGGATGTACTTCAGTTGAAGAAAATATATTTTTTTGATTAGGTAGGAGGTAAATAGTTATACCATTGCTTCTGTCCAAAGACATCTTTGTTCAACCAATACCTGGAGAACTGTTAGTTGTATTGTTCTCCAATGTGGAGGTCACCTCCTTCGGCTGAAGGAGAGGTGCAATACAAATTGTGGTTGTGATTTTGATTGTTTTATTCTTTCAAGAATTATGGAGTACACAGATGAATGGACAAGGAGGCCTATGGAAGTTTTCAGTTGTTCCACTCAGTGTAAGAGGGGTGCAAGTCATGAGATAGGATAAGTTTAAAAATTGACAATGTCTATATCAAACTTTGCAAAGCACCTTTGCTATAAACAAAGAAGTCATTACTTACTCTGTAAACAATCCATTAAATTTTGTTTAAAAATCAGTTAACAAATTTGCTGTAGAAAGTTTTCCCCAGTTCAAAACTTTAACGTGTGATAGTTCTTGATAAATAATAAATATCATAATAAAACTTTGCAATGTACCTCTACTATAGCTGTGGAAAGGGGATGCCCAAATCTGAAAACAATCCATTTAATTATGTTCAAGTTATTGTTGAACAAAAATTCCCATGGGTTTTTTTAATTTCTGCAATGTTAATTGATATAACTCTTGTAACCAGAAAATTGGAACCCAGAATTGCACTGCACCTCTCCTTTAGACAAATTTGAAAACATATCGACCAATACTTTCCTAGTCATATTGCTTTAATTCTTAAAAGAATAAAACATTCAAAATCACAATCACACTTTGTATTGAGTTTTACGCCGCTTGTAGCAATATTACAGCAATATCACAGCAGGGGACACCAGAAATGGGCTTCACACATTTTGGAGATGAAGAGATTGACAATAAGGCCTACACTTAACAGGGGGGATGGTCGCCAGTGTCAATGACATGTTTGTGCATGTAAGTTTTTCCTAAATCTGCAAGGCTTGTTTTAAAACATGTCTCTGTTTTGTCCTAAAAATCTAAGAAGTCTTTGTTGTTGGTCTGGCATCAGTTGTGTCTTGGTCAAGTGAAATCCTAAATCTTGAGCAATTTTGACATAATCCCTAGTGCAACATAACCCACTCAGCTAACTTTGTGTGCTGGCTATTTGGTGCCTGACTCTGAGGGTGTGGGTTCAAATCCCGGATGAGACTCAGCCCCAAAAAGAACCAGAATTTGTACTTTACTAAGAAAGTGTAATCCCAAATCCAACATATGTTGTATTTGACCACTTTCTAAATGGCACTGCGTAATCATAATCCCTAATGTCATTGTCTGTTTTCTGATTGTCAGTGTTAACTGTATTTATGAAAGGTTGGTCAGTCAATTTCAAAGATAGAGTGGCTGTCAGTGTAACTAAATTTGCTATTGTAGGGATGGATTCTTAAGCGCTTTTGAGAGGGTCCTACCACCTGCTACTTCAGAATGAGCAGTGAGGGGGGGGGCAATTGGTTAAATGATAACGAAGGAATCATCTTTTGCCTCAGGCAGTCTTGCCATTAAAAGTGGGGATATAAATCTGATCTATTGATATTTTTCCTTATCCTGACTCCTGATTATTTGCTTTCTCATCCTCTCTCTTCGGAACAGTCAAGTGGAAACTTGAATCCTTTCAATTCCCTTGAAGCGAACGTACAATCACTCACCCTTTATTACCTCCCCTGGTTTCCCGCTAAAACCTGGCACGACCTCCCATGCCTTGGTCCTCACTCTCTCCTCTATCGCCCTAGCAGACGGTTGGGCGGTCACTTCAGGGTCCTTTCGCGGCGTATAACTTAAAAAGTTTTGGAATTATAACACACATTCTGCCGTGAATGTGTTTAGTAATATATTATTCATCATATTATTAACAAAATTTGTACATTTCATGTCAAATTAATTCACGTTTTACTCCGTTTTCAGACATCTGTTTGCTTACAGTTTGCAAGTGTAAACAGTGATTCAGCACGTCTCTACGCTTGAATTACACTCTGGTGTTCTTCTTGTCTGGTTTATGAGTTGAATATGTCTTGATGTTGATTATTCTGTATAATCATATGTGTATATATTGAATTTATGACCTTATATATTAATTGAATTGTGAAAATTTACTTGTAAATGTTTTAACATGTGATTGCGAATTTGATTCTAATATTTCACAACCTGTTGGTACAGTTAACCAGACTGCGTGAGAAGGTGATACAGTCGTGAGAATTGTGAGTTGCTGTGACTACGGCTTGAGCTGTGCTGATATATGATGTCAACCCAGCCTAAGTCTGCGACGTCACCCGTACGGGAGAAGGTATCTCCACACACTGTAAGTAAAAGGAAGTCCCCTCCGGCAGAGAAGGCATCACAACATAAGAAGAGCAAGACGACTGCTTCAGGGAAGCAGTCATCATCATCCAGGCGCTCATCTAGATCGTCCCAATCTGGTAAATTGGCGCTACGTACGTCTATGCAGCGTCTATCAACAGATATTGATGTGCCTGGCGCTGAAGCAGATGGTTCCAGCTTCGGCAGTCCTCCAGTGTTGCAGCCGGAGATTTTCCTTTCAGCGTCGCAGAGATCTTCCAGTCCTGAGATACTGTCAGCGCAGATTAGAAGCATGACATCGCCGATGTCATCATTGCAGTCTACCGAGAGCAGTGATGCAGATAGACTATCGAAAGTTACTCACTTTCACGCAAGCAATCTATTGAAGCCGTTGCAGAACCAGAGACAGCAAAAGTCAGGCGGGAACCCGTTAGTGTTTGTGAACGCTAACCCGTCTACGAGGCCGACAGGCGAGACAGTTGCAGTAATCCCGCAGCAGCATCCGGTGGTCAACGCTGAAGACTTTGCTGATACAATCACCTGTAGGGTGATGCAGGCCATGGAGATGAGGCTAGACCGGGAGAAGAAGCAGACGGCTCTTGAGAGCAGCGTTGCAGTAGAAGAGATGATGGCAGACCGGTCATTTACTACGTCGTCAGCAGTCAACGTAGACATGTCACATCAAGGCCTGGCAGATGTAGTACAGCATACTGAAGAAGATGATGCCATCTTCACTGAAGCTGAGGTACTGGCGTGGGTGGCTGATGGTCTCCCGTTATCGTCCCCGGCTAGAGACGCTAATCCAGCGGAGATGAACTGTATGAAGGATGATGACTACGAATCAATTACTATCCCGCCAATGAAGCCCATTGCGCAGGTTTCAGACAACCTGAAAGCAGCCTTCGAGAAGGCCTCGAAGACACAGGGGCAACATACTCCGCAGTTTAACCCTAAACGATTCCGACATCACAATAGGAGTCAGTTCGACAAGGCGCCAGAAGTTGACGAAGATTTATATCTGGTCACTGACTCGAAGTCTCGCAGTTACAAGGTGGAAGATAAGAGAATGGCGCAACTTGATACGACAACCCGTAGAGCCTTCTACGGGTTAGCAAGATCTAGAGCCATCAACGAAGCATTGATGTACGCTTTCAAGAATCCTAAGACGGAAGAAGAAAAGATGATCAAGTCTACCTTAGTGGTCCAGCGCAAAGATCATGAATTTATCTCTGATCACTTGGCTTCTACATCGGCGGGCATCACCGTTTTACGTCGACAAGGGTTGCTGAGTTCCAGTACGTGGCCAGATGTCTACACCAAACCTTTACTAAGGAAGCCTTTGGCAGTGCCTACCCTGTTTGACGGCGGCATCCGGCAGTTTTCACATGAAGTATCTCAAGACTCCAAAGACTTGATGTTGATCAAGTCCGTACAGCTGATGAACACCATGGTGCGTCAATCAACTCAGCGTAGTCAACTAAGATCCCGTTTCTCTGGTATTCAGAGAGCCAAAGAGAAGAAGTTTGCGACTTCACGTGGAGGCAACATGGGATCTTTTCGTCGTCCCAGTAACGTCAGAAGTTACTCAGGTCAGGCAGGATCTCCAGCAGTGGCAGAAGATCCCGTTACTGAAGAGAAGGTTCGGAGCGACAGGTCCCGCCCCAGCCGTTCCGCTACAACCGTCATCCGTGGATGGACGTCTGGGACTATACTGGGAAAATTGGAGAATACTACAGGATGATTACATCGCAGAAGTCTTACGAGAGGGCTACAGCATCCAGTTGCAGTCGACACCACCGTTGACAGATCAACCGTGGGTCTTCAAGTACCTGCAACTACAGCGAGACAAGCTCACCGAAGCT